CCCCCGCATCGGCAGGCGGACTCTCAACCACTGCGCCACCAGGGAAGCCCCAGCCTCAGTCTATTAAATGGGGATAATACCTCCGCTGTAAGTTTACTGGGAGGATTAGAGATTAACGCAAAGTACCTGCATGGTGTGCTCAATAAATGGCATTGTTCATCAATTAATTTTTTAAACTTTTGTATTCTCCCTTGTATGTCCCAGGAACAGCTGAAGGCTTGCCTTTGCCTGTGCCTCTCAGCAGGAGGCAAGCCCCTTCTGGCATGAGTGCCACCAAAGCTCCATATGGCTGTGCACACCAGTATTAACAACCAGACGGCAGGATACTTGGGGTGATTTGCCGGCTCTATTATTTATTAGTTAAGGATCTGTGATGACACTTAACACCCCTGAATCCTGGTTTCTTCGTCAAGTGGGAAGAATTTACCCAATCCAGCCCCAAACTTCTGACCTCAACTGGATTGCCCTGGCTGCTGTGATTCTACATCAAAAGGGCCGAGTATCTTGGGCTCCTGGAGGATTTCCAGGGGCTAACCAGGCTCTGAGCTTACTCAGAGAGCCCCGGCTGGACCACTCTGCAGTGAGTCGAGGAGAAAATAAACTCACTGATGGTACAGCCCCTTGGAATCGAAGGGGGAGGAACCTGAGCAGATGAAAAGTCCTCAGAGGCCCCAGAATGCTGGGAAATAGGGCCCCTAACCACCTCATCTCATTCCTGCCTCCCTGGCTTGCCCCCTTTGCCCCACTCCATCAAGCTAAATCTGCCTTCTCCTCCCCCACCCCCAACTTCGAAAGAGCCTGAAGGATCTGCACTTGTCTCTGCCCTCCTGCACACAGCCAAGAGCGAACACTTAGCAGGGTTAGAGGACTGCATGAGAAGCCCATGGGACTCACAGCCAGCCAGGGCCAGGGCAAACAGGAGCACCACCCTAGCTTTGCTCTCAGTCCCGGAAAAAGGTCCCTACCTTCCAGTGGCTGCCCTGGGATGGTACGCCTCAGCCACTGAACCCTCTGCCCCTCCCTCCTCTTCCACGCAGGAGATGCATGTGCCCTGGTAGAGCATTTATGCCAGCCTAGCCCCTCCCTGCAGCCCTGTTTCCCAGTCTCCTGCCCTCCCCTGGGGGGGTGAGGGGAGTGTAACTTTTTCTTCCATGACTGGGTTGAGGCCCAGCACAGGAGGTGCTGGGGAGTGCGGCAGAGCTCTGAGACTCACTAACATGACGACTTGGGATGCCAGAGGAAACTACCAGCTTCCACAGAAGGGGGCAGTCCCCAGAACCAACACATCACACAGCTCTTTCCTGTCTCCCAGACAGACCCCAGCCAGGCTTCAGGCTGACATCCATGAGATCAGACACCAACCCCCAGGGGTCTCTTTTTTAAAAGAATCTAAAGCCATCCTTCATGGGTGTTTTTTTTCTTTTTAGATGCCCAAGCCTACATTCCCCTCTACCCCCTTCCAACCGGATTGACTTGGGGAGGGGATGGTGGGAAGGGACTAGATCTTGCCTAAATCAACCTACACTTCTCCCCCCTGCCCCCATCCCCATCACCTATTTCAAGCAGTAACCTGAACCAGGGCTTTCTGGGAAGCCAATTTTTGCTGCAGTAGAAAGAAAGAAGCGGCAACAAATCTGGGATCATCACCAGGCAGCCTGTGGCTGGCCACTGGCTGCGGGAGCCCCAAGGGCCCACAACATTAGGCTCTTCCTGTCTGACTCTCCCCTCATCCCAGCAGAGGCCAGGATAACCCAGGTGTCCAGGAAGCCTCAGGGGCGTGGCGTGGGGCAGGCATCTTGACTTATCTTCCTGGGAAAAAGAAGGGCTCTCCCAAACCTGGATGAGAGGTCTGGGTTCTGGTCCCAGTTCTGCCTGTTATGGCTGAAGAGGCTGAAACCCGTGCCCCCTTCTCTAGAACTCATAGTTCCTAGCACACTGAGCTGCTGGGAGGATTTCAATGAGATGGGACACAAGGAACTGCCAGAGTAGCCACTTACACTCTAGTTTTTCCCCCCAAATCCTGCCTGACTCCAGCACAAGGCCCCATTCCAGTTCTCCAGGACTCTGTCCTTCAGAGGAATTGGGGGTAGATGTAGAGAGGCCACCTGTGCAGGAAGAAGGGGGTGGAAGAGCTCAGCTAAGAGCACCCCACTCGCTGGGAGGGGGATGCCTTAAAGCAGGAGCTGGGATTAGGTCCAAGTAGTAAGTCAGGAGTGCAAAAGTGTGCAATCTCCTGATGAAGCGTTGGGGGCGAGGATGATTCTCCTGGGGGCCCATGGAAAGCAGGGGAATTTGGGAGGAAGGCGGTGGTGAAAGTCGGTCAGTCTCGGTCCCAGAGAAGACCCAGGCTCCTGCCACTCACCCTGGCCGCCCGGGAGGAGTAGGGATCCTCGAAGAGCGCCCACATGCGGGGCTGCCAGCCGCGGCAGCCCCCGGACCCGGCGCCGGGGCCCGCACCTCCCTCGTGGGGCCCCAGGCGCTGCAGGGCCAGCTCCCGCTCATCGTCGCCAGCCTCGTCGCCGGGCCCCGCGCCCCCGCCGCCTCCGTCTGGGCTCTCGAAGATGTCGAGCGCCTCCTCGGCGTCGCGGTGCTGCCGGTAGGTCATCCAGCAGCAGGGCTCTACGTCGGTCTCGTCGATGCCCCAGAAGGTGAGCTCCTCCTCAAACAGAGGCCCGCACACGTCGGCGGGGCAGTGCAGCTTGCCCGTGCGGTAGTAGTTGAGCACGTAAGCAAAGACGCCCGGGTGCCGGTCGAAGAAGAACTCGCAGCCGCCGCCGCCGCTGCTGCCTGCACCACCGCCATCGGACGCGGGCCGGCCTCCGCCGTCGGGATCGGCCAGCCAGGCGAGGCGGGTGCCCGGTAGGGTGCGCAGGGTGCTGCGGTAGGTCTCATGTCGCGTGCCGCCCACGTTGATGATGATCTTCTCCGACGCCTCGCCCTTGGCCATCTCCTCCTTCAGACATGTTTTGGACGGAGGCTTGTTCCCCGACTTGCGCCCGCGGTAGGAGGAGACACACACCGAGCTGATCATAAGAAGCGCTGCGGGGCTTCGGCTTGGGGCGGCCGCTGCCCTCCAAACACCCTTCCAGAGGAGGCAGCGTCAGACGGGGGTGGGGGAGGAGACCAGGAGGAGGCAGGAGGCCGAGGCGGCCCCCTCTGCGGCGTGGCCCTGCCCCTGCCTCCCCCCCAAGGCGCGGAGCGGGAGGAGTTGGATTTCTCGCGGGCACAGGTGGTTGGGGTTTGGGCTGGCAGCGCCGGGGAGGGAGGCAGGAGGGAAAAAGGAGAGCCGAGGACCCAAGCGAGGCGCCCGGGAGTCAGGGCTAGCACACACACACTTCCCCCGCTAGCACTGGACACCCAGACGCTCGGGGCCCGGGACACGCCCCCCTGCACCCCCCAACAGACGGGGAAGCGCACTGTCCAGGCGCACTGCGCGCGCTCACACTCACACGGGCCACCCTCTGGCTCCCGGTCCGCGCCGAGACCCGGGAGCTGCGGCGGCGGCAGCAGAAGCAACGCAGCAGCAACAAGTCCTCCAAGCGGCTGCCGGGGCTGGGCCGGCGCTCTCACGGCAGCCGGAGCTCCGCGGGCCCGGGCTGCGTGCGGTCAACACAAGGCGGCGGCGGCGGCATGTGGCCTCTTCCCCCCATTCATAAATCCAGCGCAGGGCACGGATGGCGGGCGGGGCGGAGCGGAACGCGGCGTTCGGGCGGGCGGGTGCTGCGCAGAGCGAGGCGGCACAAGGAAAACAAGCGCGCCCGCAGGAGCGAGCCTCTGGTCCTGCGTCCGCGGCTCGACAGCGGCGGGGAGCTGCGCTGCGCTGGGCGCTGCGCTGCGGGGGCCGTGCCGGGGCGGGGGGGCCTCGGACGGGGCGTCCTGCGCGGCGCCGGGCTTGGGGGCGTGGCAGCTCCCGGGAGCAGGGCTCTGGGCACTGCGAAGGAGTCTGCCGGGCGGCGGCCGAGCGGCCAAGGACACCTGCAGGCTTCCTGGGCTGCGACAAGCGGGAGCCTCAGCGCAGCGCCCCGGCGCCTGGCTCCTGCGATCTGGCGGGGCTGAGAGCCACGCCATCCACGCGTCTACCCATCTCCGGGCGGGGCGCTGGCCTTGGCCCGCAGCAGGGGGCGGGCGAGAGGTGGCCTAGGGGCGGGGGTTGCCTCCACGCCGGTGGGCTGCGGCTCTGGGCGCTCTCCGTCTCCCTCCGGCGTTGGTAGCGGACGCCGCTCTCTGCTGGCGCCTTTTCCTCCCGGCGCCGCCTCGCCCGGGTGCGCCCTCCACGGAGCGGAGTGGGCGGGGCGCGGCGTGGGGCCGACCCAGCTCGCTGCAGAGCCCAGGCGGCCGAGCTCTGCCTTCCTCCGCGGAGCCGAGCGGAGCCAAGCCAAGCCAGGCGCGTAACCCCCTCGCCGCCTGCACGCTTTGCGCGCCTCCGCCGCCGTCCCCTCCCGCCCCCCTAGGCCCGGCTCCCCGCCTCCCCAGAGGCCAGAGCTCCTCCCACTGCAGTCCGGCTGCCACCCAAGCGCTGTCAACCCCTGACCTCTGACCTGCTCCCGCCCCTTCTGGCAGCTCCTGTTGCCTCGTCCCCACCAAGCTGATCGCTTTGTTGCCGGTTAATTGTGGCTGACAGGAGGCCGGGGAAGAAAGAGCGGAGAGACAGTGTCGCTTGGAGGAGGCTGCCCCCTCCTGCCCCAGACACTGTGTTAGGGCCTCCTGACGACTCCGCCCCCAACTGGGCCCAAGATCCCCGTGGTCTCTATGCTTGCGGCCTCTGTCACAGTCACCGAAGTCCCCCGCGGTGGAATAAGGGACCCGGCGGCCTTGGGCAGAGAAGCATCTCCTGGTTTAGGCGGGCGGAAGGAAACCGTAGCCTTGGCGCTGTTATGTGTGTGGGGCAGGTTGCCCTGAAAGATCATTTGGTTAAAGCCGTGGCTTATCATTATCCTAGGGAGCAACCTCCTGGTTCTATTATTTCACTCATTGTAAGCTGACTTTTCCCTTTTCCTGTCTCATCTCCCCTCTCTGACCCTGAGCTCTTCCAGACCGGACTGCTTTTTCACCTTAATAGCTCCCACAGTGCCTGCCTCTGAGAACCTGTTTGCTAAGTGATCGAGAAGCTGCTGTACCCAAAACATTAGGCACTAGCCCGACTTGACTGGCCTCATCCCAAGAGCAATGTCCAGATTCATTTTTTTGGTTTGTTTTTAAGTCCAGACCTCTTCCACATCTTTAAATTAATCCTCTTTTTTTTAATTAAAAAAAATTTTTTTTTTTTACAGTTTTAGGCAAGCCTCCATGTCTGTCCAGATCACCGTAAGAAGGATTTTAAAGCAGAAACGCAAGGTGATTAACACACCTTCCCTGGACACCTGTGCATCATCTGTTTTCCAGATCAGGCAGTACCTGGCTATATTGGGAGAAACAAGACAGGGGCTTGGGGGTGCTCTGAGGAGAGGTTAGAATAGAAGCCTAGTACAAATATGCGGAATTCTTATAAGCAAAATCTTGTCATTAATGAAGTCAGAAAACCAAAATAATGATGACGACCTGTGATCTGTACTAACATGCAGAAGAGGTAAATAGCATCCTGAACTGTAGTCAGAAACACTCATTTGCTGGCACTCATTTTGTGTCCAGTCTCCCTACCCCTTGGAACTGATGTCTGCATTTCAGAGTTTAGCTGGCTTTGAGTTTGCTGCAGTGGAAAACAAATCTCCCAGTTGTGACTGGGGACAGAAGACCCAGGACTGGCCAGAAGCTGGAATGAGGAAGGAAGAACCACAGCACGGTTATTAAAGAATTGACTGTAATGAATAGCTTTAAAGCCCTATCTGGTTGTGTCCTGGCAAACTCCCTTGGGGTCTCTCCCCCACTTTCCATTCTTCAGGCTGGCTGAACTCAGTCATTCCAAGAAAAGGGAGAGGTTGGTGAGGGTGGGTGGGAGAAGTGAAAAATACCATCCCAGCATCCCACTCCTATTTCTTGAGTACTTACTATGTGCCAGAAGCTGTTCCAGGCACTGAAAATCAACAAACAAAACAGAGCCCCTCCAACCTTGCCCTGGTAAATCTCCACCCTCTTGGTGCTTTCACTCTGTGGTGTTTGTAGATGGTGAGAAGCATGTAGGGAGATAAGTGGAGGGAGAAAACTGCCAGAGAAAAAGGAGGCCTGGACAGGAGGTCAGAAAGCTGGGGTCGGAGTAGGGGAACCCAGGAAGAGTCACTGAAAACAGAGGGCCCAGCCTGGGAGAGGCAGCGGGGTGAAAGTGCACTGGGTGGGAGGGCCCCTGACTCAGCACACTGCCTGGCTCCTGGAGAAGGGAACTCAGCCAGGCCAGAGGCCTCCAGAGAAGACCTCACCACTTGCTGAAGGTTTTATCCTAGAGCTCTGGGCTAACCTGTTACCTGGGCCTCTGTGGAATTTTCTGGAGGATTCAGCATGCCGCAGCTGGCCTCATAGGGCTTGTCTCCATCAGTTCTGTATGTATGAGGTCCTGCTATTTCCGAAAAGCTCAGAACCCAGGAAGGAGAGAGCACCCCCCCACCACCAGACTGCCATGTGACAGCCTACTGTGGATGGGTGGGTGCTGCCCCCTGGTGGTTCTAGGAGACCCTGCTCCAGACCTCACTGGGCTGCGGTCATGGGAGAAAATGGGGCTGATAGGCTTCCGGTCAATTCCAGGACCTCAGGTATCTCTCCCATCTGGGACTTGGCCTGATCTCTCCCTTTTCCTTTCCTCCAAGATCTTGATGACCAACAGGCTTAAGCAAGACCACGAAGCAGTCATAGCTGGAAATTCCGAATTCCACAAACTTCTCTCCCTTTTCTCCACTTTCCTCCTCTGGATGCCCAGGTTTCTTCCAGCTGTCTGGAAAGAACAATCATCTGGGAGCCAGTTCATGCTAAAGTGTCAGTCACAGTGGGTTTTCCTCAACAGGAATAAAGGTATAGCAAAGAAAAGGAAGAGAGCAATGTTTGATCCCAGAGTGGAACGGATGGGGGCTCTGTCAAGCACCTGTAGCCTTTCTAGAGCCCCCTCATGTGAGGCCCTTGCTCTCTGAGAGCTGAGGCTGATCTGGCCAGTGGGAGGCTTGAGAGCCTGACGTCAAAGCCATTTACCCTTCCTGTTTGTCCACTGGGAGCTTGGTGTGGGGCTCAGCCACTTTGAGGTGACAGAAGCTAGCCAATTTCCTCTCCATTTTTTTTCTGTGGACTCTGCTTGTTCTGAGGGGCTCCAGGCCTGGGAGCAGGCCCAATGGCTGCCAAAGCAAAGTCCTAGCCATTGATATTCACACCTCCCCCTTTTGGTATCCCAGCTCCTGCCAAGAACCAAACCCTCTTCCCTCAGGTCCAGGTCAAGGAGCCAGCATCCTTTCCCAGCCTCCCCTGCTTCCCAGACTGGTTAATTGAATTGCTTTATCAGTCATCATCATTGGGGCAGAGGGTGATAGAGCTTTTCCCCTCATGGAGGGAGAGAAGGGAGGGTCAGAGGAGGCTGAAACCTCCCGTGTGCTTATCACTTCACTTTATCCTGCCTCCCACCCCCACCCCCAGGCAGCCTGTGGAGACTTGCAGTCTCCAAATCAAATGCTGAGAGCCTTCCCATGAGGGGTCTGGGAAGAACCCAGACACAGAGGACAGCCCACGGGGCCTTGCAGAGGTCAGCTAGAAGGGCTCGGCACAAGGGATGAAGGTAGGGCTGAGTTGCTCTGAAAATCCTAGTGAAGGTGTATTGGGGGCTCTTGGGGAACACCAGAGATGGCCTTTGATGGCCCAGCTCTTAAAGGGAAAAGACCAGAAGCATACAGGCTACAAGCTCAGGCCTGGCCAGGACTCAGAGCCTCATAAACCATGGACTTGGAGTCAAAGGGCTAGAAGGGACCTGATTGTCAGCTCACAAGCACATTCTCCTTGACAGATTCCAGCCCTGTGGAGCAGCAGTGAGTGCTGGGGACTGAGCTGGGCCTGGGCTTGGGCCAAGGGTCAAGAATGATATTGGGCCCACATGGCCTCTGAATGTAGAACAGTGTTCATGGGATCACAGGATCAGGGCAGCTAAGGGGACTCCCGGAGCCCTCCTGGCTCAAGGCTGCTGAGATAGAAACCCAGGCCAGGTGCAGAGAGTGAGAGCACGCGTGCACACACGGTAGCTCAGGGCCCAGCTGGCAAGACTCCTTGGCACTCAGTGCTTCTCCATCTAGAAAAGTACAGCTTCCTCCCACCTGGGCTAAATTCCAGCAAAACTGGCTTATTCCATTAGAGTGGTTAATTAGTCCTGATGGGTCCGGTCCCCTCCAGCGGTGTCCCAGGGAAAGGAAAGCAGTTGTCTGGAGGAGACCAAACTCTGGCTCCTCTTGGATACTCACGAAGCCCAGGGATTCTTCCCTGCTTGGGTCAGCCCTGGGAAGAACAGACAGACCCAGAAGCCAGCCAGCTCTGACCCAGGGAGCCCCAGGGTGGAGCTTTGCTCTGCAGCTGGCACCGTGGCTCGCTTGGAGTAATCCTAATAGTGGTTGCGTGGTTGTTGAGTGACACACATGGTCTTCTCCCCGTTTCCCAGGGTTTCTTCCCACGTAAGACCATGCAAGTCAACGCAGCAGTGTGCCTGGCACCGGCGAGTATGACAGTGACAGGACGCGCCAAGTCAGGTTATCACTGTTTCTACAAGGCAGTAGGAGCACAAGGCAAGGGACCCCTGCCTGATCCTTCTGTGTATATTCCCAGTGCTTAGCACAATCCTAGGCACTCAGAACACTTGGATTATACTTGATGCATGGAATTAATGAGGCAGTGGGGTGAGGGTGGGATGAGGGTGGGAGAAGGTGGGAGCCCTCCCTGTCAGC